GACACAGAGAAGAATACACATACACAGAGACAAGCACAGACACTCACATGGAAACATACACTCAGATACCCAGACACAGACAGGCAGACAGGCAGACAGGTAGGCATACTCTTTATAAGAGCCGAGTAAAGGTCAGGTGTATTGTACAACGGATCAACTTCATGCCCTAAAATCTGCAGAAACTGTTGCATTCGTATACAGCTTCAAACGCGGCCTTCGCAAATATACGTACACTTACATATAAACATGATTGAACATATCGAAAACGAGGAATCTTCTCACCTGCAAATTAACAAAGTAGACTGATATGATATCCCGATGAATGCCTTACAAAGACAGTAACATATCTTTCCAGCGACATAAAGCGATGCAGCGATATTTGAAGCATCGAACATATGCATACCAGGTATATGATACTTTACAATGATTCCTGTTTCCTCGGCGGTGAGAGTGTCACTTCAAAGGAAACCTACGTGTTCTGATGAAGCTGGCTAACTGGTTAAAACCTATAATTCCCCAAACTCTTCAAGCAGGAAGTACATGTAACATCACGATCAATGATGTCAAAAGTACGAATAAATACACATACTATTTTATCCTCACACCATATATATCGGGCTCTTAAAAGAGTGATTGAGCTTAGTTTTTTTCGCCACATTTAGCAATATTCAAAGCAAAATCAAAGCGGGGTCACCAGAAATGGACTTAACACATTGTACCCATGTGGGGAATCGAACTCGGGTCTTTGGGGTGATGGGCGAACGCTTTAACGTCTAGGCTACCCACCGCCCCGACGCCCAAATGTAATGTGCCCTGCTGTAATATTGCTGGATAGTTGCTTGAAGCGGTGTATAACAATGGGAACTGACTTGAACTGATTATTTGACATCATTGTAGTGATCGATGCTCATGTTATCCATCACTCTTTCCCCTAAATTATGTCATTAATGAACTTCGTGAAAAGCTGCAGCTTCAACACGGAACATCATCGACCCACCCTCTAGCATTGTACATGATAGGATTAGTGTCATAATTACATCTAAGAAAACCAATCAATTTCTTCAGAGTTGCGTCCCTTAGTTTTGACAGAATCCTATGCCTGAGTTACGTATGTAATTCAAAATCCGCTATAGTGATGATCTCAGTTTGTTTCCAAACAATGTCAGTATCCAGGGTTCTAAACGAAGGTTCTGAATCCCATTTTGTCCTAGTTAGTTAATATCAAATACAAGTGTGATATTACGTTTCTCCTAAGGTATCCTAAGTTACCTATACTGCTTCGTGGCCAGAAGCTGGTCGACATGGTAACATCCATTGTGATTTTCGTCTAAGCGTAACAAAAGTGATGGATGGAACACATTTTCCTGGTTCAGTTTAGTTTCCCATGACACGCTTAAACAAACCCTCATTGAATGAAGGTTTGTAATGAGTCGAGCCACACAAAGGTAATGTGTCACTCAATAGAAGGGAGGAAGCGAGTTCCACACAGGCAAGGCAAAGATAAGATCGAAACTAAATTACAAATAAAATACTGGCAAGGCAACTTTTGTGAAAGCAATGCACACAATAATCCCACAATAAACTCCATCACATAATGCTTATTCAGCAGGCATCCTCATTCGTACCGCGACATTCATTTTAAATGAATGTCGACGTCAGAACACCTAAGTGCAACACTGAAATTCTGAACGTTACATTGTTGTGTTTTCAAAGCCACCTGTCATATTTCACATGTTTAACTACATGCGCAGGTATCTGGTGATTAACCGGATTACAACCCCTATGCTTTATCACTCCGCCACAACTGCCCGATGAGCCTCAAAGGGATGGTAGAATTTGATGCTTATAGTCCCAGTATCTCAAGGTTTAAAAGGACCATTTGTAATCCAGCGAGCTTGAGGTGACGTGATCGAGCCCGTCTGTGACCGGGTGTAAGAACCTTGGAGTCAACTTTGTGTGCAGACTCTTTCAGTGTTGTGACAACACCTAGTGTCAGTACATAACCATGTGCATTTAAAAGAACCCAAGAATTCCTTGGTATATGACCAGATAGTTACCGCATGAATACGTGCAAACACCTAGTTGCGGGTACAGCAACGTGTAGTAAACTTGGACAAAGAATTGTGACTATGTGTCGCAGTCCACCCAGCTGTGAATTGGTACCTCGTAAGGATGTGAAAGCCACATTAACTCGGTGCGCCTAGTGTCTGCAGGAGTTGTATGATCCCCAGGGAGTTGAGATTGATAATACGACGTGCCGTTGAACTTTGACATCCAGTGATCGAGGAAAAAACAAAGCGCCTGTGAGCAGCTGAGTTTGATATCGGCTCTGAACACATGTTAGTATGAATGTATGTATGTTTAATACCTCTTGACCATACTAGTTTGTAGAATGAAATGTGTATGTATTGGCCATTCTAACCTGTTATAAGGATGTTCGTGAAAACTATGACTTTAGGTCACTATGTAATGTTTCTCTTGGAATGCCATCATGTGTTGCTTTGCTTTTGCATTTAGTGTGATATATTGTCATGTGATGCTGTGCTTTATGTGTCATGTTCTCATTACTTGAGAGAATCCACATTCGTACTGCGAGAGTCATTAAAAAAACCCGACAATTAAAATTACATATGCAGACACTTGAGCGCAAGAAAATGTCTGACCGAATTTCAAACGAATCGTGAACAGACATCAAATAGACAAGATCTATTTTCAGGTTAATTACATTGTGAGTTCTACCTTAAATATCTTACAATTCGTTTCTATTTTCTTTGAAATAGAACTACAATATACATCGTTTTTTTATAGTTATCATTGCAGTTGTTCATGAGCGAAAGGAAAAGATAAATATATTCAAATTATGATTTATATCTTTATTCTACGAGTGAATCCTAATATGTACATAACTAAATATATGCGTTATTTGTCATAAGTGTCTACATATTATCTTTCGTGCAGATTGCAAAGTCACGTACATAATCTGTATCTACGAAAAGGAGTGGTAGGTAAGTGCAATGTATAAAGCCTGTTTCTTCTGTTCCAGGCTGAGATATTGATGGAATAGGCTACTGCTAAAACGAATAAAAGCATCCTTACTCTGTCACTTGTCTACTAAAACCTTTTTTCTAAGACCATCTTTTAAGACACGTACAAATATCAAACATTTTAGAGACTGTTTTGAGAAAAGTTCCTTGTACTTCTTTATGTGGTACTTGGTCTATCAAAGGAGATCGTGATACAAATAATCATGGTATACATACATGTATTTAGAATGAATATACAGCATCATACATACTTGTCAACTAAACCGATAGCCGCCTGTTCCCTGCATCTCTGGTCGAACTGCGAAGTAACATCCTCAGTCTGTTGAAGAAGGCTTTTCTAGCATACTCCTCCTCTCCCCACATCAGGTAGGTTGTCGTCTGCAACATGGCTCTCATAGCTTTGGTTACGTGACGTGTGTCTATCTCCTCCAGCATGACCACCACCACCAGGAGGCACTGTCCATTCTCCAGCACGTGACGTTGGATGAGATTGAGCTCGAACTGGCACCAGTCACTGACAGCAAAACTGTTAGAGAGCACAATGACAATTTTCCGACTTCCTTCTATTGCATCCACAATATTATCGACGATTAATTTACCAACTTCAAAGTCCCTGTCATGGACGCAGAGTTTCAGGTTTTCGTTACCTTCCAGAACAGGTAACATGTTCCGAATAACCCACTGACGATCTGGCGCACAGTAGGCCACAAATGCGTCATATTCGTAGTCGGCGGTGTCCACCTCCTGACGTTGACTGTATCTGACCATGTAGATGAAGTATCGGATGTGCCAACGGTAACGATACATCCACGTTCCTGTCACCAGGAATACTATAAGTAAAATACTGAAGGTAAGAGTTACGATTTTCACATCTTGATCCATCAGACAACTTGTCTTTGACATTTTCAAAATCCTGCAAAGTGAACCCCTTTGAGGGTTCACGGGGCTGGAACAATTATACTTTACCTTATATTCAGGTGTTTTATGAAAGCCAAATGTTTCCGGGTTCCCTATGCATCCAGTCTATAAGCCCACACTATGTCACAGGTGCAGGCAAAAGGATTTTCAAATATCTCGAGTTGTTTTTAGAGTTTTCGAAGGATTGTTCATTAACTGTTGAAATCTCATTACTTCCCAAGAATAACTTTTTTCAACCTTGTCATATTTTCAAACGTGTTTGGCTTTAGGTCCGAAATCGAGTTCCGATACAGAGCAAGACTCGTTATATTTGTTAATTTCGACGTTATTACTTGTGGTATAAAACGTAGGCCATTACCACCCATAACCAAAGTCTTGAGGGTGGTGAGGTGTCCAAGCAACCTACTAAATTCCGTTTCTGTGGTTACTTGGAAAACATTATCATTGAGGTTCAAAAGTTCCAAAGAAGAACATCCTTCAAAAACCCGCATGTCTATCTCAGCTTCTCTGAACCAAATACGATTCTTGCGAAAGAATATTTGTTTCAGTGCCGAATTATTGAACACAGCTCTCTCTACAGTATGCATTGCACACGCAACATAAGACAATGTGATTTTGAAGATGCTTGGCGACATCGAAAATTGATTTGACTTTAGTTCTGGAAAAGATTACCGTTTAAGTGGAAGCTAGTGAGGTTCTTTAAACAGCTGTAATAGTTTCTGTCTAAATATCTCATACCATTCCACTGAACAGACAGGTATTTAAGACTGGGGAAAGTATTACTGCTGCAAAAATTAGGAAACTCATAGAAACGATTGTTATCAAATGTAAGACTTTGGAGAGTGGTAAAGCTGGCGTTCCTCAGATCTATGCGCTTTAAACGATTTCCGCCAAAGTCAAGAATGGTCATTTGCCTTAGTCCCTGAAGAGCATTCAGTGGGAATTCACTAGTATTATTTCGAAATATAAGTCGAAAGTTTGTAATATTTTCTAAATGTTTAAAGAAATCATCAGAAACATTTGTAAGATTCATAGAACTAATGTTCAGTTCTTTCATGGGCGTCTTGGCCATTCCGAGAAACGATTCCTTGAGACCATCTTTGGCAATGAAGTTCTCTGACAGGTCAAGCATCTGCAAATACTTTAAGCTGCTGAAGGTATTCCTGTCTATGTATACCATTGTGTTATTTTTCAGACTGAGATAGACAATCTGATACCGATGATACTCCAGTAGGGTGTTGTTGGAGAGTACAGGAATTGTTCCATTCTCCAGATAAATTCTTGTATTCACAGTGGTGGACCGTTGTTGGGGCGTTGGCAATGGCTTCCCTGTTAAGTTTAATCCTCTGCATCGCATTTCAATCTGTACGTGTTTGAACTGGCTGCAGTTACAGCCCTTATGACAGTCCAGGATCTTCTGCAACGGCTGAAATGTACTGGAAGCCATCGCAAAAGACAACAGTGCAGTGATGACCACCAAACTCTGAGGGTGCTGGAGTTTTTTCATCTTGCCCTTTGCACCTGACAACCTTATTGTCTGAAAAATATAAACCAAAAACTGGCTGAGTTAAGATTTGGTTAGGGATTCAAGAGAGTATCTTACTTTATTGATCGCATGTGCTCTGAGTAGTTTGGTTTTGAAACAAAAGCCGAAAAAAACACACAAATGTATTTGGTATAAAAAGTGAACCTCAGACATTTCCCGCTTTAAATTTACTTCACACAAATACAATATTTCAAATAGACGGAAAACAAGGGAAATGGAAACGTAATAAGAACAAGTGAAAAATATACGATTGTAAATAAGAGACAAAATGTTGTTTCTGTTTGATAAGTAAACAATTATACATCACTGAGCATATAAGTTTTGATTTTGAAATCTAGTTTATTATATAACACAATTTAGTTGCATAACATGTGTTATTGGTTTTACAGCAGGAATACTTTGAATCTACTTTCATCGCTGTTTGTTCATGAATCACACTTCGATAGGATCAGCACACATCAGATCCTTCGTTAAAATGTAAAACTTGGGCTGACAAGTTATGAAGATTCTTGTGAAACTGTTTGTTCAGCAGTGACCAAACTATTCAGACGGAATTCATAGGAGACTGACTGACTGAGTTTGGTTTTACGCCGCTTTAAGCAATTTTCCAGCAACATCACGGCGGGGGACACCAAAAATGGGCTTCACACAATGTATCATAGGTGAGGTGAGGTGAGGTGAGGTGAGGTGAGGTGAGGTGAGGTGAGGTGAGGTGAGGTGAGGTGAGGTGAGGTGAGGTGAGGTGAGGTGAGGTGAGGTGAGGTGAGGTGAAAATGGGTTTTACATTCTACGTTTTCACCGAAATGACAACGTGTATTCGTGTGTATGTGTGCCTGCTTGTACTAGCTAAGACTTAAGCTATTTTTATAGTGCTAGCATACTGAGATACCATGCCGCAGTGAAGCATGAATATCCCACTCAGACACATTATGCTGACTCCTTGTTGTACCCATCAATGCCGAGCTCCAGGCAGGGACCAACAGGTGCCATATTTTAACGTATTTTGGTATGACCCGGCCGGGGATCGAACCCGCGACCTTCCGCTCTCCGGGCGGACGCTCTAATCTCTAAACCACGGATTCGGTCCTCAAGTGAATATAAAAACATTCAGAAATACATTCAGACATCTAGTCTTCTTTGTTAACTGCAGATAAACAGGGTTCCGCGTTTTGGATGTGCATGTATTATGGTAGATAATCGTGTAGCATGTGGGTGACTCAATGTTGCTCGACTCAGTAGTCAGCAATAGTCTAGATATATGTTCAAATAACCGATACCGACAAACCAGTGACTGAAGTAAATAATGAGCAATGCTTGAATTAGGATCCGATGAAATATTTTGTACTTAATTTTTATCCTTTTCTACATAATTGGAAAATGACTAGGAGAAATGATCTAACGTGCCACTATCTAGATGCCACTATTTAGAATTTAGATGCCACGATTTAGAATTTAGAGATAGGAGTTGGAATTTAGTTGCCACTTTTATGCCTCGATTTAGAATATAGATTCTACTATTTAGATGCCACTCTTTAATTGCTGCTATTTAGAATTTAGATGCCATTATTTAGAATTTAGATTCAACTATTTAGATGCTCCTGTTTAGAAGTCACTATTTAAAATTTAGATGCCACTATTTAGAATTCATATGACAATGTTTAGAATTTAGATGCCACTATTTAGATGCCACTGTTAAGTTGCCGATATTTCGAGTATTGGCGACTAAATGTTACCCAACACCGCGGTCAGCATTATGTACCAACCATTGAGTGTCAACGATATCGCGGTAGGATCCGCTTTGATACCGTGTACTAAAATAAACCTTAGTATTGAGTTCGTGTAAGTGATTTGGATTTATTTATTTCCTGATACTAATGAGTCACCATGCAGATTTTAGTTGTTGAACAAATATACTTCCTGTGATTCTATGCAGTATTGTTTTTGCGTTGACGAACGTCTATATCTTACAACCTAACAGCTAATTTCTGGTGCCCCCCGCCGTGATAGTGCTGGTATATTGCTGAAAGTAGCACAAAACAAAACTCGCTCACTCATTATTTGTCAAGAATATTTCTTTCACGCCTTTGTCGAGATTGTCAGTACATGGTAACCTCCTGGATACATCTCGCAGTTTACCAAAAACTGAAATCTAAAGGCAAGTGACATGTCCAAAAAGTGTGTATAATTCGATAAGTATTTTCTGTACTGCCATGGGAAGTATTGTTCTGCGGATATCTTCATGCACGTAGCCGCATTTCTGTGGAATCCTGGAAGGGACATTGTCGCATTGTTGCGTTGTCGCCCTCTCAAATACAAGCACAATGAAGCAAAATTAAGAAAGCGCCACAATGCGACATCCCGTTTTGAATAATATTTTCTTTTCCTCCAAACGGCGACAGCACGACATGGCGACAATTTTCAAGGTCAAAATATGTCGCGTTGTCGCATGTAATATTTAAGATGTGTAAAAAAGCCTATATATTTACTAAAACACGCTATAATGTCCCTTCTCGGATTCCATACATTTCTGAATAATTTTGACAAATATTGAATTACTGCCTAGTTATAATGTATTGCGCCCCGGAAATATTATAAATGAATACAAATTTGTGAGGCCAATTAGAGAACTTATCTAAAGGTCAAATATCTCAGCTTTTGAATAAAATAGATATATACTCATGTCAATAATGGTTGTCACCCCCTTCAATTTTGTTTATTGGAGAGGGGGTGTGGGGTGTGGGTGTGGGGGGTGTGTGGACTTGGGGTTGGGACGGGGAGACAACCATTAATGGCATCAATATATATACTACATTGAATGCACAACAATTGATTCGGGAATGTCAGTAGTAAAAAATTCCTTAACCTGTCCACTTAAGTGGATATGTGGGTATTTTATACAGAAACTGATGTGTGTTTTTTAGACCAACACTACAAACCGCTGAGTTGTAGCCATACTATTGCTGATAAAAGAGCGAAAAAACAATCGAAAGGAAAGAAAGGAACCATTTTAGCATTGACGTGTCATGTCTTAATAAGTAATCAAATAGTTAACACATGGGCTTGATCATAAAATGAGAAAACATAATCGTAAGCGGTTTCCAACGTAACACCATCGAATTACATCATGTGATGTCCAAATACTTTAAGGGCGGTGGGTAGCCAAGCGGTTAAAGTGTTCACTCGTCACGCCGAAGACCCGGGTTCGATTCCCCACATGGGTACAATGCGTGTTTCCCACCGTGATGTTTCTGAAATATTGCTAAAGGCGGCGTAAAACGTAACTCACTCACTCACTCACTCACTGACAAATTAACTGTACTTACAAGTACCACCAAGATCCCAAGCTCAAGTGGTTGAACTCTCCCTTCTTACAGTTGACAGTTTCCAACACGGAAACAGAAAGCATATCACGTGTGTGTTAGTTTTACCGGCTGTGATTATTCACTCTCCATGATCAATTATTGTTAAACATAAATCACCCTTTATCTGCCTTGTCGAGCCAAAATCAATACGTCACACAATCAAGTTTGGGTTCGAATCCCAGTCTCCTCTCGTTTTGTAATGTGATGCTGAGCTTTCTCTGGCATGTTCTCGTGTCATGTATTTAGTGAGATGCTTTGCCATGTGATGTTGTGCTTTATGTGTCATGTTCTCATGTCATGTATTTAGTGGGATGTTTTGTCATGTGATGCTGTGTTTTATGTGTCATGGTCTCATGTCATGTATTTAGTGTTGTGTTCGTAGTGTGATGCTGTGTTTTATGTGTCATGTCCTCATGTCATGTATTTAGTGTGATGTTTTGTCATGTGATGCTGTGTTTTATGTGTCATGTTCTCATGTCATGTATTCAGTGTGATGCTATGTCATGTGAGGTTGTGCATTTTGTGTCATGTTCTCATGCCATGTATTTAGTGTGATGTTTTGTCATGTGATGCTGTGTTTTATGTGTCATGTTCTCATGTCATGTATTTAGTGTGATGTTTTGTCATGTGACGCATGTTTTTTTTCTTTATGTGTCATGTTCTAATGTCATGTATTGAGTGTGGTGTTTTGTCATGTGATGCTGTGTTTTATGTGTCATGTTCCATGTCATGTATTTAGTGTGGTGTTTTGTCATGTGATGTTGTGCTTTATGTGTCATGTTCTCATGTCGTGTATTTAGTGTTGTGTTTTGTCATGTGATGCTGTGTTTTATGTGTCATGTTCTCATATCATGTATTTAGTGGGATGTTTTGTCTCGTGACACTGCGTTTTATATGTCATGTTTTCATGTAATGTTTTTAGTGTGGTGTTTGTCATGTGATGCTGTGTTTTATGTGTCATGTTCTCATGTCATGTATTTAGTGTGGTGTTTTGTCTTGTGATGTTGTGCTTTATGTGTCATGTTCTCATGTCATGTATTTAGTGTGATGTTTTGTCATGTGATGCTGTGCTTTTTGTGTCATGTTCTCATGTCATGTATTTAGTGTGATGTTTTGTCATGTGATGCTGTGCTTTTTGTGTCATGTTCTCATGTCATGTATTTAGTGTGATGTTTTGTCATGTGATGCTGTGCTTTTTGTGTCATGTTCTCATGTCATGTATTTAGTGTGATGTTTTGTCATGTGATCCTGTGCATTTTGTGTCATGTTCTCATGTCATGTATTTTGTGTGATGTTTTGTCATGTGAAGCTATGTTTTATGTCAACTATGTTTTGTCAGTTTAATTGAGTTTGCAGTTGATTAAATGTCAACGGATGGTGCCACTAGCGTACACTCCTCTCGCTTCGCATCACCTCATTTTCACACATTCTCGTGATTACTTAGCAGAATCCACATTCGTACTGCGACAGTCATTTAAACGACAATTAAAACTACCTATGCAGACACCTGAGCGCAAGAAAATTTCTGTCCGGTGGTGTTTCAAACGAATCATGAACGAACATCAAATGGACAAGATCTGATCTCATTTTCAGGTTAATTATATTGTGACTTCTACCTTAAATATCTTACAATTCGTTTCTTCCAGTTCTCTTCCAAATAGCACTACGATATACATCGTTATTTTATTGTTATCACTGAAGTTGTTCATGAGCAAAACGAAAAGATAATCATATTCAAATTATGATTTATATCTTTATTCTACGAGTGAATCCTAATATGTACATAACTAAATATATGCGTTATTTGTCATAAGTGTCTACATATTATCTTTCGTGCAGATTGCAAAGTCACGTACATAATCTGTATCTACGAAAAGGAGTGGTAGGTAAGTGCAATGTATAAAGCCTGTTTCTTCTGTTCCAGGCTGAGATATTGATGGAATAGGCTACTGCTAAAACGAATAAAAGCATCCTTACTCTGTCACTTGTCTACTAAAACTTTTTTCTAAGACCATCTTTTAAGACACGTACAAATATCAAACATTTTAGCGACTGTTTTGAGAAAAGTTCCTTGTACTTCTTTATGTGGTACTTGGTCTATCAAAGGAGATCGTGATACAAATAATCATGGTATACATACATGTATTTAGAATGAATATACAGCATCATACATACCTGTCAACTAAACCGATAGCCGCCTGTTCCCTGCATCTCTGGTCGAACTGCGAAGTAACATCCTCAGTCTGTTGAAGAAGGCTTTTCTAGCATACTCCTCCTCTCCCCACATCAGGTAGGTTGTCGTCTGCAACATGGCTCTCATAGCTTTGGTTACGTGACGTGTGTCTATCTCCTCCAGCATGACCACCACCAGGAGGCACTGTCCATTCTCCAGCACGTGACGTTGGATGAGATTGAGCTCGAACTGGCACCAGTCACTCTCAGCAAAACTGTTAGAGAGCACAATGACAATTTTCCGACTTCCTTCTATTGCATCCACAATATTATCGACGATTAATTTACCAACTTCAAAGTCCCTGTCATGGACGCAGAGTTTCAGGTTTTCGTTACCTTCCAGAACAGGTAACATGTTCCGAATTACCCACTGACGATCTGGCGCACAGTAGGCCACAAATGCGTCATATTCGTAGTCGGCGGTGTCCACCTCCTGACGTTGACTGTATCTGACCATGTAGATGAAGTATCGGATGTGCCAACGGTAACGATACATCCACGTTCCTGTCACCAGGAATACTATAAGTAAAATACTGAAGGTAAGAGTTACGATTTTCACATCTTGATCCATCAGACAACTTGTCTTTGACATTTTCAAATCCTGCAAGTGAACCCCTTTGAGGTTCACGGGGCTGGAACAATTATACTTTACCTTATATTCAGGTGTTTTATGAAAGCCAAATGTTTCGGGTTCCCTATGCATCCAGTCTATAAGCCACACTATGTCACAGGTGCAGGCAAAAGGATTTTCAAATATCTCGAGTTGTTTTAGAGTTTTCGGAAGGGATTGTTCATTAACTGTTGAAATCTCATTACTTCCCAAGAATAACTTTTTCAACCTTGTCATATTTTCAAACGTGTTTGGCTTTAGGTCCGAAATCGAATTCCGATACAGAGCAAGACTCGTTATATTTGTTAATTTCGACGTTATTACTTGTGGTATAAAACGTAGGCCATTACCACCCATTACCAAAGTCTGGAGGGTGGTGAGGTGTCCAAGCAACCTACTAAATTCCGTTTCTGTGGTTACTTGGAAAACATTATCATTGAGGTTCAAAAGTTCCAAAGAAGAACATCCTTCGAAAACACGCATGTCTATCTCAGCTTCTCTGAACCAAATACGATTCTTGCGAAAGAATATTTGTTTCAGTGCCGAATTATTGAACACAGCTCTCTCTACAGTATGCATTGCACACGCAACATAAGACAATGTGATTTTGAAGATGCTTGGCAACATCGAAAATTGATTTGACTTTAGTTCTGGAAAAAGATTACCGTTTAAGTATAACCTAGTGAGGTTCTTTAAACAGCTGTAATAGTTTCTGTCTAAATATCTCATACCATTCCATTGAACGGACAGGTATTTAAGACTGGGGAAAGTATCACTGCTGCAAAAATTAGGAAACTCATAAAAGCGATTGTTATCAAATGTAAGACTTTGGAGAGTGGTAAAGCTGGCGTTCCTCAGATCTATGCGCTTTAAACGATTTCCGCCAAAGTCAAAACTGGTCATTTGCCTTAGTCCCTGGAGAGCATTCAGTGGGAATTCGCTAGTATTATTTCGAAATATAAGTCGAAAGTTTGTAACATTTTCTAAATGTTTAAAGAAATCATCAGAAACATTCGTAAGATTCATAGAACTAATGTTCAGTTCTTTCATGGGCGTCTTGGCCATTCCGAGAAACGATTCCTTGAGACCATCTTTGGCAATGAAGTTCTCTGACAGGTCAAGCATCTGCAAATACTTTAAGCTGCTGAAGGTATTCCTGTCTATGTATACCATTGTGTTATTTTTCAGACTCAGATAGACAATCTGATACTGATGATACTCCAGTAGGGTGTTGTTGGAGAGTACAGGAATTATTCCATTCTCCAGATAAATGCTTGTATTCAAAGTGGTGGACCGTCGTGGGGGCGCTGGCAGTGGCTTCCCTGTTAAGTTTAATCCTCTGCATCGCATGTCAATCTGTATGTGTTTGAACTGGCTGCAGTTACAGCCCTTATGACAGTCCAGGATCTTCTGCAACGGCTGAAATGTACTGGAAGCCATCGCAAAAGACAACAGTGCTGTGATGACCACTAAATTCTGAGGGTGCTGGAGTCTTTTCATCTTGCCCTTTGCACCTGACAACCTTATTGTCTGAAAACTATAAACCAAAAACTGGCTGAGTTAAGATTTGGTTAGGGATTCAAGAGAGTATTTTACTTTATTGATCGCATGTGCTCTGAGTAGTTTGGTTTGAAACAAAATCCGCAAAAAACCACACAAATGTATTTGGTATACAAAGTGAACCTAAGACATTTCCCGCTTTTAAATTTACTTCACACAAATACAATATTTGAAATAGACAGAAAACAAGGGGGAAATGGAAACGTAATAAGAACAAGTGAAAAATATACAATTGTAAATAAGAGACAAAATGTTGTTTCTGTTTGATAAGTAAACAATTATAAGTTTTGATTTTGAAATCCAGTTCATTATATAACACAATTTAGTTGTATAACATGTGTTTATTGTTTATTGGTTTTACAGCAAGAATACTTTGAATCTACTTTCATCGCTGTTTGTTCATGAATCACACTTTCATAGGCTCAGCACACATCATAACCTTCGTTAAAATATAAAACTTGGGCTGAGAACTTATGAAGATTCTTGTGAAACTGTTTGTTCAGCAGTGACCAAACTATTCAGACGGAATTCATAGGTGACTGGTTTTACCCCGCTTTTAGCAATTTTCCAGCAACATCACTACGGGGGACACCAGAAATGGGCTTCACACAATGTATCATAGGTGGGGTGAGGTGAGGTGAGGTGAGGTGAGTAGAGGTGAGGTGAGGTGAGTAGAGGTGAGGTGAGGTGAGGTGAGGTGAGGTGAGGTGGAACGGGGTTTTACATTCTACGTTTTCGCCGAAATGACGACATGTATTCGTGTGTATGTGTGGCTGCTTGTACTAGCTAAGACTTAAGCTATTTTTATAGTGCTAGCATACTGAGATACCATGCCGCAGTGAAGCATGAATATCCCACTCAGACACATTATGCTGACTCCTTGTTGTACCCATCAATGCCGAGCGCGAGGCAGGGACCAACAGGTGCCATATTTTAACGTATTTTGGTATGACCCGACCGGGGATCGACCCGCGACCTTCCGCTCTCCGGGCGGACGCTCTAATCTCTAAACCACGGATTCGGTCCTCATAAATATAAAAACATTCAGAAATACATTCAGACATCTAGTCTTCTTTATTAACTGCAGATAAACAGGGTTCCGCGTTTTGGATGTGCATGTATTATGGTAGATAATCGTGTAGCATGTGGGTGACTCAATGTTGCTCAACTCAGTAGTCAGCAATAGTCTAGATATATGTTCAAATAACCGATACCGACAAACCAGTGACTGAAGTAAATAATGAGCAATGCTTGAATTGGGATCCGATGAAATATTGCATACTTAATTATTATACTTTTCTACACAGTTGGAAAATGACTAGGAGAAATGATCTAACGTGCCACTATCTAGATGCCACTATCTAGAATTTAGATGCCACTATTTAGAATTTAAATGCCACGATTTAGAATTTAGATGCCAGCATTTGGAATTTAGTTGCCACTTTTATGCCACGATTTTAGAATATAGATTCTACTATTTAGATGCTACTCTTTAATTGCTGCTATTTAGAATTTGGATGCCATTATTTAGAATTTAGATTCATCTATTTAGATGCACCTGTTTAGAAGTCACTATTTAAAATTTAGATGCCACTATTTAGAATTCATATGACACTGTTTAGAATTTAGATGCCACTATTTAGATGCCACTGTTTAGTTGCCGATATTTCGAGTATTGCGACTAAATGTTACCTAACACCGCGGTCAGCATTGTTTACCAACCATTGACCGAAAGCCAGAGAAGTGTCAAAGATATCGCGGTAGGATCCGCTTTGATACCGTGTACTAAAATAAACCTTAGTATTGAGTTCGTGTAAATGATTTGGATTTATTTATTCCCTGAAACAAATGAGTCACCTTGCAGATTTTATTTGTTGAACAAAAATACTTCCTGTGATTCTATGCAGTATTGTTTTTGCGTTGACGAACGTCTATATATTACAACCTTACAGGCAATTTCTGGTGCCCCCCGCCGTGATAGTGCTGGAATATTGCTGAAAGTAGCACAAAACAAAACTCACTCACTCATTATTTGTCAAGTAGATTTCTTCTACGCCTTTGTTGAGATTCTCAGTACATGGTAACCTCCTGGATATATCTCGCAGTTTACCAAAAACTGAAATCTAAAGGCAAGTGACATGTCCAAAAAGTGTGTATAATTCGATAAGTATTTTCTGTACTGCCATGGGAAGTATTGTTCTGCGGATATCTTCATGCACGTAGCCGCATTTCTGTGTGGAATCCTGGAAGGGACATTGTCGCGTTGTCGCCCTCTCAAATACAAGCAAATTGAAACAAAATTAGCCAAAACGCGACACGCGACATTTCGCCCATTTGTCGCATAGTCGCGATGTCGCGTGTCGCGTTTTGAATAATATTTTCTATTCCTCCAAACGGCGACAATGCGACATAGCGACAGCTTTCAAGGTCAAAATATGTCGCGTTGTCGCATGTAATATTTAAGATGTGTAATAAAGCCTATACATTTACTAAAACACGCTATAATGTCCCTTCTCGGATTCCATACATTTCTGAATAATTTTGACAAATATTGAATCACTGCCTAGTTATAATGTACTGCGCACCGGAAATATTATAAATGAAAACAAATTTGTGAGGCCAGTTAGAGAACTTATCTAAAGGTCAAATATCTCAGCTTCTGAATAAAATGAATATATATGCTACATTGAATGCACATCAATTGATTCGGGAATGCCAGTAGTAATTATTTCCTTAACCTGTCCTCTTAACAGGAAAAGTGGGTATTTTATACAGAAACTGATGTGTGTTTTTTTTTGGACCAACACTACAAACCGCCGAGTTGTAGCCATACTATTACTGATAAATGTGCGAAATAACTATCGAAAGAAAAGAAAGGAACCATTTTAGCATTGACGTGTCATGTCTTAATAAGTAATCAAATAGTTAACACATGGGCTTGATCATAAAATGAGAAAACATAATCGTAAGCGGTGTCCAACGTAACACCATTGAATTACATCATGTGATGTCCAATACTTTAGGGGCAGTTGGGTAGCCCAGTGGTTAAAGTGTTCATTCGTCACGCCGAAGACCCGGGTTCAATTCCCCACATGGGTACAATGCGTGAAGCCCATTTCTGGTGTTTCCCGCCGTGGTATTGCTGAAATATTGCTAAAGGCGGCGTAAAACGTAACTCACTCACTCACTCACTCCAAATACGTTTGAAACACTGACAAATTAACTGTACTTACAAGTACCACCAAGATCCCAAGCTCAAGTGGTTGAACTCTCCCTTCTTACAGCTGACAGTTTCCAGCACGGAAACAGAAAGCATATCACGTGTGTGTGTGTTCGTTTTACCGGCTGTGTTTATTCACTCTTCATGATCAATTATTGTTAATCATAAATCACCCTTTATCTGCCTTGTCGAGCCAAAATCAATACTTCACACAATCAGGTTTGGGTTCGAATCCCAGTGTCGTCTTGATAAAATACATGGTTGTTAGCAACCCCATACTGCACTCATCACGTTGGTCTTTCTCAATAATCTTCATCGTTTTATTGTCACATGGGTACGGTGATGTTTGGTGTTAAACCAAATTCAACCTCTCACCTCCCAACCCATCCATTTAACAACCCACCCAGCCAATACTCACCTACCCACCCAGCCAATACTCACTGGACAACCTACTCAATATTTCCCTGCAAACCCACCCGCCCAACTTACTCACCCACCCTTGTAACCATACACATCGACTCACCTCCTCACCCAATAGTTTAACCACTCTCAAACACACACCCTGCTCGCCCAGTTAACCACTCATCAAGGCCCCGAATACTGACCAACCCATCCAATACTCACCCATTCACCCACTCCACAGAATACTCAGTTACCCACACATCCAATACTCACCTCCGCCCATCCAATGTTCATTCATCCACCCACCCAATACCCGGTACCAAAACCACTCTATTTTTACCCTCAAACCCGCCCGCTCAATTATTCTCCGACCCACCCACCAATGTAACCACCTACACATCCAATACTCAGAAACACATCCAATACGCACTCAACAAACCCACCCATGTAACCATTTACACATCCAATACGCACCAGCACATCCAATACGCACTCAGCCACCAACCCATGTAACCACTCATACATCCAATACTCACCAACTCATCGAATACGCACTCACCCACCAACCCATGAAACCACTTACGCATCCAATACTCACCAACACATCCATTACGCACTCACCGACCCACCCATGTAACCACTTACAAACCCAATACTAACCAATTCATCCAATACGTACTCACCCAATGCAGCCATGACAGCCACTTTCCCACTCATCCATGTAACCCTTGCATCAACACTCACCCAACCAACATCCAATGCGCACTCACCCACCAACCCATGAGAACCACTTACTCATCTAATACTCACCAGCTCATCAATACGCACTCACCCACCAACCATGTAAAACCACTTACTCATCCAATACTCACCAACTCATTCAATACGCACTCACCCACCAACCCATGTAACCACTTACTCATCCAATACTCACCAACTCATCCAATACGTACTCACTCATGTAACCACTTCTAACACATCTAATACGCACCAACACATCCAATACGCACTCGCCCACCCACCCATGTAACCAGCTACATATTCAATACGCACCAACACATCCAATGCGCACTCACCCACCCATGTAACCACTTACACACCCAATACTTTCCAACACATACAATACGCACTCATCAACCCACCCATATAACCACTTACACATATAATACGCACTAACACATACAATACGCATATCCCACCAACCTATGTAACCAGTTACGCATCAATACGCACTCACTTTCCCACTCATCGTCACTTAACCAGCTACATATTGAATGCACCAACACATCAATACGCACTCCTCGACCCACCCGCAAGTAACCAGCTACATATTCAATACTCACCAACACATACAATACGCACTCACCCACCCACCCACCCAGCCACCCATGTAACCAGCTACGCACCCAATACGCACCAACACATCCAATACGCTCTCAACACCCACCCATAAACCAGCTGCACACATCCAATACGCACTCCACCCATCCAGCCATGTAACCGGCTACACACCCAATACGCACCAACACATCCAATACGCTCTCACCCACCCATGTAACCAGCTACACACCCAATAGTCACCAAGACATCCAATACTCACTCACCCACCCACCCATGTAACCAACTACATATCCAGTCCGTACCAACACATCCAATACGCTCTCACCCACCCATGTAACCACTTACATATCCAATACTCACCAACCCTTAAAGAATCACCCACCCACCAATTCAGTTCTAACCCAGACAGTCAATGCTCACTCCTCACCCTTCAAATGCCCACAAATCCACCCACTCATGTAACCACCCAAACACCCTTCAAATACCCATGCCAGTCCACCCAATCAAACATTCACCTATCATCCAGTACTCACCTACCCAAATCCGCCCGCTCCATCCACTCACTCACCCGAGTAACCACCTATCCACCCAGTACTCACCCACACATCCAATACTCACCAACAAACCCACCGACTCACTTGCTCACCCACCCTCCCGTGTAACCTACCACACATCCAACACTCACTCACTCACTAGTGTGCTAATTACTATGTATTTAAGCCTATTACTCAGCGACATGTTATCATGCATCTGTTATGGTGAGTGAACAGTGAAAGTAAACGTGTTTGCAAATACAGCTTCACTATCATCGCCAAAGCATGTTAAACTTCCTTATACAGTAAACCAGATATCTTCACTAGTAACAGTAGACTTGCACAAGTCTTTAAGATAATAAACAATAGTTTAAATGATAATTTCTCAAAATATATCACATATGCTTCTAACAGATTAAAGGGTGGTGGGGTAGCCCTAATGGTTAAAGCGTCGGCTCGTCACGCTGAGGACCCGGGTTCGAATCCCCACATGGGCACAATGTGTGAAGCCTATTTATGGTGTCCCCCGCCGTGATATTGCTGGAATATTGCTAGAGCGGCATAAAACCCAACTCACTCACTCACTCTAACAGATTAGCGTCATTATCTATACATGTGTCTTTAAAGAATAGGATTACTCTACAATGCTTAGCATTCAGTACAGCCTCGGATCAAGGCCAGAATAGCAGGTACAGGTCTTCAAACTTTGTAAACGTAAACCCTCTTTAAAAGTGGATTATGTCGGTGATGTCATTGGTAGAATGCATAAAATGTTGAACGTCTTTTATAAAGGGGTTACGTCAGTGACATTGTCACTGGTGAACATTCAACAGTTCAAGTATTCAAACAGTCAAACATACTCTTTAGAAGATTTTCACTGTCAACATTGACACCCATTTGTGTGAGCAAGATGTGAAATTCACTTCCGGCCATCATCCGCCGCCATATTGTGGAAATATAATACAAGCGACATGGAAACTTGCAGTCACCTTTAACAGAAGTATTTCATTCAGTGAAGATGTGGGTAAAACCAAATACGCTTGTATCGTTTCCTGGTTCATTTTCTTGCATGACAATCACGGGTTGGACAAATCCTCTTTCTCTCAACCCGGGCGTCGATTAGAGCTGTCACAGGATGTTAGGGTGCTTTCAGTTGTGTTGTTGAATGGTGTGTTGTTGTGTGGTGCTGAGTGTTGAGCTTCAGTGCTGACTTATGTGGCGTAGTGTGGTGTGCAGTTGTGTGTAGTAGTGAGGTACACAGTTATGTGGCGTAGTGTGGTGTGCTGTTGTGTGTAGTAGTGGGGTACACAGTTGTGTGGTGCTGAGTGTTGAGCTTCAGTGCTGACTTATGTGGCGTAGTGTGGTGTGCAGTTGTGTGTAGTAGTAAGGGTACACAGTTATGTGGCGTAGTGTGGTGTGCAGTTGTGTGTGTAGTAGTGAGGTACACAGTTATGTGGCGTAGTGTGGTGTGCTGTTGTGTGTAGTAGTAGTGAAGTTACACAGTTGTGTGTGGTGCTGAGTGTTGAGCTTCAGTGCTGACTTATGTGGCGTAGTGTGGTGTGCAGTTGTGTGTAGTAGTGAGGTACACAGTTATGTGGCGTAGTGTGGTGTGCAGTTGTGTGTAGTAGTGAGGTACACAGTTATGTGGCGTAGTGTGGTGTGCTGTTGTGTGTAGTAGTGAGGTACACAGTTGTGTGGTGCTGAGTGTTGAGCTTCAGTGCTGACTTATGTGGCGTAGTGTGGTGTGCAGTTGTGTGTAGTAGTGAGGTACACAGTTATGTGGCGTAGTGTGGTGTGCAGTTGTGTGTAGTAGTGAGGTACACAGTTATGTGGCGTAGTGTGATGAACAGTTGTATGGCAGAATCTGGTGTGCAGTTGTGTGGCGAAGTATGGTGCACAGTTGTGTAGCGTAGTGAGGTGCACAGTTGTGTGGCATAGTCTGGTGTGCAGTTGAGTGGCGTAGTGAGGTGCACGGTTGTGTGGCGTAGTGTGATGTGCAGTTGTGTGGCGTAGTTAAGTATGCAGTTATGTGATGTAGTGTGGTGCACAGTTGTGTGGCGTAATGTGGTGCACATTTGTGCTGCGTAGTGAGGTGTGCAGTTGTGTAGCGTAGTGAAGTGTGCAGTCGTGTGGCGTAATGAAGTGTGCAGTTGTGTGGCGTAGTGTGGTACACAGTTGTGTAAGCGTAGTGTGGTGTGCAATTATGTGGATTAGTGATCGTTGTGTTGCGTAGTGTGGTGTGCAGTTGTGTGGGTATAGTGATGGTGCACAGTTGTGTACAGTGTGTGTGTAAATTACACAGCTGTGGCAGTTGTCTGACGTAGTAAGTTACACAGTTGTGTGGCGTAGTGTGGTGCAACATTTGTGTAGTGTGCAGTCGTGTGGCGTAGTGTGGTGTGCAGTTGTGTGACGTAGTAAGTTACACAGTTGTGTGGCGTAGTGTGATGTGCAGTTGTGTGGCGTAGTGTGGTGTGCAGTTGTTAGGCGTAGTAGTTAAGATGTGTGCAGTTAGTGTGGTGTAGTGAATTGTGCAGTTGTGTGGTGTAGTGAAGTGTGCAGTGTATGGCGTAGTGTAGTGAAATGTGCAGTGGTGTGGCTTAGTGTGGTGTGCAGTTGTGTGATGTAGTGAAGTGTGCAGTGGTGTGGCGTAGTGAAATGTGCAGTGGTGTGGCGTAGTGAAATGTGCAGTTGTGTGGCGTATTGATGTGTGCAGAGTTGTGTGACGTGACGTAGTGAAGTGTCCAGTTGTGTGGCGTAGTGAAGTGTGCAGTTGTGTGGTGTATTGTGCTGTGCAGTTGTGTTGCGTGGTGAAGTGAGCGTG